TCTTTCGGTTTTAAAAAAATTTAATTATGAGCTTTTTTACAATTTTCAGGCGTTCATTCTTATAACATCGTATCCGTCAATTTGTTAATGCTGCCTTTACTGTATAAAGCATGCTCCATCTGTTGCCGACATTTTATGAGAACTATGTGAGATCTTCCTCAAGCTGTAGGCGAAAACGTACTTTTCCTTAAACAGGATGTACACAGAGCGCAGTTTGTGAACCTTGCATTCCAGTGTAGCAGTTACTAGGTTTCAAAATTATTCGGCAATTAAGAAAGTTTTTTAAAACCACAAGATGCACTTTCTTTAAGTATAAAATTTAAAGAAGGCGTAATTTTCTACTAAACGATTGCAAGAAATAATTTTTTACCGCACGTTTTCCAAAAAATATATTTTAATCTATAAAGGCGGTCAAAATCAATGACAAAAAGGCATACTATTTATGCAGCTACTTTTTCTAGTACATACTTTTACTTAGTGGTCAGAAAGAAACTCATTAAAAAGCCCGCATCCTGACGTGACCTAAATATATTGAGATGAGGCTGTACGATCGTCATTTTTAAAACCATACGTAATTAATATGTTGAATCGAAAACGCATTTCAGAATTTCGGGTGACGTTTTATGAGATAGGGAATCTGCTGTACATGTAGTTAGAGAAGAAGAAGAAGAAGACACGTCAATCACTAGAATCAGCGAATAAATATATGGTCCTGGTGATCGACGTACTTTCTTCTTCTCTACCTATACAAACACACCTGGGATGTGAACATTCGCCTCAATATTGTGTGTCCAGTTCGCCCTACCCATGCAGTGGCGGTCAAAATTGCTTCCAATGAGCAAACTAGCCTGTGGGCAATAACTTATGTTTACGACCACGATTGAGCCCGTAAGCGCAGTAAGGTATTTCTTGCATATTCAAGACATTCTCAGATAAGGTATCAACAGTAGCTATTTTACAATTTACCCTGACGAAAGCAGTATCCCTAGATATTCATTGCTCGTAGCATGGCATTTCTTTTCCTCGTTACTACCTTCTGAACATAGACTTCCTGCTTGCTTCATGGCTTGGTAATAAATAACGTCTTGTGCCCATATATACTAAACTTACACGTCAGTTGACCAGATAAAAGTAGCTGCACCCAACTTTCTTATGTAATAGTATTCACCTAGGAAAATGACTTACGGTTTATACCGGGCTTATCAATTTTTGATAAGCCAAATAGGTTTGCAGCATATCGTTCACCAAAAGACTGGGCCTAATGGATGCCAGGATGCACAATTTGTAGTTCCTTTTGGTATTTTAAACCCAACTACCTAAAGTTCACCTCGTCTTTGCTCTCGAGGAGCAAGAGACCGTTCAACATATCCAGCAAAAGCCTATGCTATGAACGGTCATTTAAGAACGTAAAGGAGGGCAGAGTTCTATCCTAGGCATAGCGA